GGAAATTAAAATCGTTGTCGCAGTTGTGGCGCAATACTACGACACGGACGTGAACAAGGAGTACGCGATCCGTGGGAACAGCGCGATTTTGAAGTGCGTCGTTCCGTCGTTCGTCGCCGATTTCGTCAAGGTTTTGTCCTGGCATACCGATCAGGGAGAGGAGTTCGTGCCAGGCGACGATTACGGTAGATCCCTCGCGCCGATCTTTTCCGCTCTAGTCGAGCAGATCGTTTTTTCTTTCGTCGAACGAGGGAGGGAGAAAAGAGGGGATAGGATTTTAGGTTGGAAAAAGCGTGGATCGTAATCGATGCATGCGCACGCGAGAATATCGTCGACCAGCCTCGTTAACGTTCCTACCAGCTCGTTATTTCTATCGGGGGAGAAGCGTGGTGGCCCAAATAATTGGAGCGCATCGTCGACATCGACGTCAGAGAGAGACGTTCCTCTCCCACCTCTCCCCTCCCTCCGTCTCCCTCTTATACCCTTCGCTTCGCTTTCTCCTCTTTTCCCCCTACCCCATCCCAGTGTCCGTTGACTGGCGTGTAGTTTTTTCTACGCGTATGCCCGCCCGCACATGCGTAGAACACACGGGCGCGCGTATATACACAGAGTCGCGAAAGTGAATCGTTCGACGCTCGCTCCTCCTGGATCCTCAAACCTCTTTTCTAAGCTCTCTGTCTGTCTCTCTCTCTCGCGCGGCTGCGGTGTAAGATACCGTGTCCCACCGAATCGATCTGCTCGACGACTGGCTAAGAATACGTCACCGCAAAGGGGAAGCTGTCGTCAACGTCGTGCGTTACAATTCGTTCGTACGGATCCTTTCGTTTCTAACGTATTACACGCGTTATATTGGTACACACGTCATCGATGGAAAACCGCATCGAAACGCTGTATATATATACAGGGAACAATGATGAGATGATCGATAATGCCACGGTTAATTTCACATTTCGCACGGCTCGTGTGTATTAATCGGTTTAAACGCGCGCCTCATTTCCGTCTGTATATATATATTGTAGTGGTACACCAGTATTATCAGTCGGAAGTAAACAACGAGTACGTGATACGCGGGAACGCGGCTATTCTCAAGTGCAGCATACCAAGCTTCGTTGCGGAGTTCGTTCAAGTAGTTGGCTGGCAGGACGATCAAGGCAACTCTTTTAATCCGGACGGGAAGAACGGTAGGATGGTGTGGGATGATTCTAGCTAACTGGCGGCGATCCGTCGGATCCGTCAACGTCGTACGAAAAAGCGATCGATCGTTCGCTCGAAATGTTTCCCCGACGATCAAAAGCCACGACGTTGATACGCGCGGCGTTAAATTAAATAGAGAAGTCTTCCTTCAGCAGGAGACTCACTTATAATACTTACTCTCGTCTCTACCAGTCGTCACTCAATACTACGAGGCGGAGGTCGTGTCCGAGTACGTGATACGCGGAAACGCAGCCATCTTGAAGTGCACCATACCCAGCTTCGTCGCGGAATTCGTGTCGGTCGATTCCTGGGTGGGAAGCGACGGTTCGACCTTCAAGCCGACCAACGACTACGGTACTACCTTCCTCCCTCCTTTATCCCCCCGTTTCCAACTAAAAGTTGAAAGTGGCACGTGGTAATAATTCGTTTCCGGCCGCTGCGGTCTGGCGGCAGTTGAACGGCGGCGGCAACGCGAACAAGGGTTAATGAACCATCTCCTATCTCGCGCGCCTCGGGATTACACCATTCCCAGAAGAAAATAACCACCATAACTCGATTACCAGCCGTTACGTCTCTTCGAGTTTTTCGTTATCGACACGCCGTTTCCCTTTCGCGTTCGAGAAGGAAGGGATCTCGTCTTCGCCACTAGAGTCTCTGTTTTCCGTGCAGTCGTCACGCAGCCGTATCAGCCGGAAATTCTCACCGAGTACGTGATCAGGGGGAACAGCGCGATCTTGAAGTGCAGCATACCAAGTTACATAGCGGAGTTCGTTACGGTCGAGGCGTGGATCAGGGAGGACGGAGAAGTGTATATCCCGGAGGATCCAGCTGTCGGCCAGCAGGGTATTGCGCATGAGAGGATCTCGCACGGCGAATCCCCTCCTCGTCCCTGCCTCGCCCCCTCTGAAACGATCGAAATCTTTTAAATTTTTAACCCTTCGCGCTCCAACGGCGATTCGACGCGATTCGACCCGGGAGGTGAGAATTTTAAAATATCGCGAATAGATTCCTAAGCTCTTTATAATCTTATAAAGCGTCCAATCGTTGGATTTTTTTATTTGAAAATTAGATCAAAGTTTGATCGTGGCGATAGATTACAAATATTATTTTCACAGTTGAGTTCGATTTGTTGAATAACGAAATTATTTCTATTCGTTGAAAAATTAACGATACAATATTAAAATATAAAAGTTTTATACGTGCGCGAAATCATTTCGATCAAGTTCGTTTCAGCTAAAAGATTCACCGAACGGGAAATTTGAAATTCGACCTGGAGTGCTGAAGGGTTAATAAACGGCTGTTACTCGAAAAGGAGATGAATTTATCGATCGAGGTAGGCACGGGGATAGGCTCGTTCGATTTTCGACTGTCTTATCTAATCTGCAATTTGCGCCGCGTTAACTTTCGTACGCCCACGTACGTAGTCTGTGCACACCTCTGCGTACGATCGTTGATCCTGTGCCGTTTGTGCCCGCGCGGGCAGTCGTTTCGCAGTTCTACGTCACCGAGGCCGAGAACGAGTACGTGATACGGGCGAACAGCGCGATCATGAAATGCAAGATACCGAGTTTCGTGTCCGAGTTCGTTCAGGTGGATCAATGGGTGGCCGACGATGGAACGGTTTACACGAGCGGAGAGGATTACGGTAGGCGGAGTGATCACACGACTTCTGTTGTTTTACGATTTACTTTTCTCTCGCCGATCTCCAATTTCAAAAAATTCATCGTCTCGCGTTTCTCCTTCCTTCTTCCCTCTCCCCTCTTCGTAACGAAAGAGCGCGCGAAACGGGGAAGAAAATGTTTCACGTTTCACGCTCCCTGGGGAAAATGCGCGTTGCAGTGGTCCAGCAATTCTACGAGACGAGGGTCATCGACGAGTTCGTCTTGCGCGGCAACACGGCAACCTTGAAGTGTCTGGTGCCGAGCTTTGTGGCGGATTTCGTAGACGTGATCGAGTGGCTGGCTGTCGAGGACGGATCCACGTACTCTGCCAACAGCCAAGAAGAAAAGGGTACTTCTCTCTCTCTCTCTCTCTCTCTCTCGTCTCGATTACTCGAGAAGATATTTAGCGAGACCGCGATGAGCACTTGGGCTTCGTTCCCTCCCCCCTCCCTTCCTCCCCCGATCGATCAATCGAACAATCGTTCTCCCCCCCCTCCCCCGATCGAGAGGCCCGGTAATGGAAAGAGGCGTTAATTTCCTTATTTACCCTCGGTTTCCTTCGATCGGACAATTTTCCCCTAGAAAGAAGAAATCGTCCAATTCCATTTTCGTTTCGCACGAAAATATACAACGAGCGTATAAGCAACTCGATTTAACCGCCTAGCCCAGACCAGCCAGCCAGCCCAACCGGACCGTTTTAATGGAATTAATAAATGGAATTACCAGCGTGCTCATCATCCCTCGGCTCGATTACGCTTTGCCCGCTCTCAGGAAGGACGCGTTCGGAGGAACGACGGTTGGCGATTGACGTGGCGGTGATGGATTTGCATTGTCGAGAAATGCAAAACTTTACCACCATTATACGCAAGCTGTTCGATGGGGGAAAGCGACGGAGCGGAGCGGAGGCAGAGCGTGCGGCTGGCAGTGGCCTCGTTACTCGCCGCGATCCGACCGGATTAGGTTAACTCGGATTAATCGAGGCCGTGGAGCGCGAATTAAACGCGACCGCGGACAGGACGATCCACTTTCGTTCGGGTGACGATCGAGCGCGAAAGGTAATAGGTAGACCGCGATCCGATGGAATTGTTTCACGGCCTCGGGTGTCGATCGCGAGTATCCATTTCTGCGTTTTCTATCGGGACAGATCTAATCCCGTTTATCGAGCGGAGGCGATGCTTGCACGAAGATATCGATTGTAACGTAAATTACGTAAAATTATTACTCAAAGTATAACTCACTTCGTTTATTATAACTGAAGTCAGACTTCGCTAGAGAAAATGGCCAATACTTTGTTTATAGGATGTTTCTTCGTATATTTGACTTTAATGACTTTTTCTCGACGAGATTCCAACCGACGTATTCACATTTTTATAGAACTTCATGGTTTTAGCGCGATGAAATTCTTTGTATACTAGCGCGATTACAGATTTTCTTGAATATTTTACTTTTTAAAAGCAACTGTAAATGGTGAAGCAAATAATGGTTGGTGAAATATCTGGTTGTGATGTAGGATGTTGCTGTTATCTCCTCGTTTCAGGAAAGAATAATGAATTATTCTCTTTACCATAACTTTTTTCGGTCGTAATGATCGTATAGTATTCTCATTTCTCGTCATAGGTTATAATTCTATTAAAAAATGGACTTTTACTGTTTTTCAAGTTTTACGCGATAATCACACTTCTAAACTTTTGATCTTTTGTCAGTTGATACGCACTTTTCTTTTTCACTTTATCCATTGCACCAAATGTCTGAAAACACGTCATACGTTTAACTCTTTCACTTTGGTTTTCGATTTCTCGATCTTCGTTTAATATAGATTTCGGTTTACTTCATTTTCAAAATTCTCATTTCCAGACCCGAATTTTTGAAATCATCACCGAACAGTCCTCTTTCATCGATAGAACTTTTCCGAAAGCTAACCTAATATTTCGATATAACTTAGCGGTCCAACTTAACCTCGCAAACAAGAATAACATTCTACTCGTTCGTTAACACCGTATCATTCACTTCTCAAAAAACTTCTCTTAAACCAATACAAAAAAGAATTTATTACACGAAGTAAATACAAGAGGACAACGCGAAAACACGCTAAGCGAAATACAGGTTAAGTAGAGTTTACAAGTCGCGACTTTACAAGTTCGAAAATTGGCAACTTCACGCGGTACAATCTAATATATATTCCGTGTTCCGTAAAACACTCGATACGTTTATTCTGTTCGATCGTAGACTCGAATCAGGCGAGCAACAGTACTTCTGCACTTTTCCATCTTTGCCATCTTCTCCTGAACGAAGCGTTTCACATGTGGTTGCGCCGTTCCATTTGCCATTAAAGGTTATAAAATAGGGCGGTAGAAATACGTTTCGTGTCAAATATTTGTCGTTCAACCCGGATGACGGACGAACGAGCGCGGCTGAAATGAAACGGTTTGGAAAACCGGCACGTTTGCTCGGCCCCGTTCCGTGATTTCGGATTAGATTAAGCCGGACTAATCAAACCGGCGAGGAAATTGATGTCCGCCGGCTAGCCTAATTTCCATTGGGTGGAGAGAGAAGCGACGTCATGCTCTCGTCGTGTGCTTCGCCGTTTGCGGCGACTCGTGGTTCATTGAAATTTTAATCGGCTGGATCAAAGCAGTCGATCGACAAACCAATTCTCTCTCTCTCTCTCTCTCTCTCTCTCTCTCT